GGGCGTGCGCCTGGCGCAGCTGGCCGCCGTGTGAGAGGCGTGGGGAAGTGCGGCCCGTTTCGCGCCCAACGGCTGCAGGTGCCGGCGTCGCTGCCGCCGCGGTGGAGGGGCTGACGGGGAGTTTCCGCCGTCGGGGGCCGCTCGGTGTGTGTTGCCGCGTGGCAGCCGAAGCGGTCGTGGTGGTTTCTGCTGCTTGCTGCAGTTGTTGTGCTTCCGGTTTTTCCTCCTCTTCTTTGTTTGTGTGTCTCGGTGTGCACGAGCTGCGGCGGGGAGCACTGCGGGGTTAGTGATGATGACGGTGTGTGGACCCAACTGTGGGTGCGGGCGGTGCGCATTGCTTCATTCTTGTCTATTTGCCCTGTTTGCTCCTCCTCACTTTTATTGTTCACACACACACGCGGAAGGAAAGAGACCAAACGCTACTTGCTACTGTGCACTTTGAAAGACCCTGCAGTCACCACCAGCACCACACCGCCCACACAACATGCCCCGGCAGCTGTTTTATTCCGCGGTGCTGCTCCTCTGCGTGCTGTCGATGTGCGGCAGCGGCAGTGGGGCTGCGGGAGCTAAAGGGAGTACGCAAGAGGCTGCAGTGAAGACGTCGTCGACAGTTGAGCTGTTCAAAAGGGACAACACGTCCAGTGGAGCTGCACGTCTGACTGGTCTGACTAATAATAATAAGACCGTGTATGCATTCACTGGCCACTCCCTTGTGGGTACGAAGGGGGTGGTGGTTGCCCTCGCCAAGGCGCGCTACGGCCGTTCTCTCATTTCAGACGCTGGCATTTGGGCGAAGTGCATCAGCTCCAAAGGGTATGGAAATATTTGTGGCTGCACGCCAGTGACTCCTGGTGCTACGGGAGGTGGATGCCCATGGACGAAGGTCGTGCCTGAAGACGCTAAGTCCGGTACTTCTCTTGGCTACCTCTACGGCCCCAAGGCAGTTGTGAAGGACGACAAAATACTGCTGCTGCTGATGAGCTACAAGGAATCGCAGGGTAATCGTAATCAACCACCACAAGCATCACCATCAACATCACTATCACCACCTACAGGTTGGGAGGTTGTGTTGTATGAGGCTACAGTGGCCGAGTCCAGCGGAACCGAACCACTAACGTGGAAAAAACCCGCAGAGCCACCTCAGACAGATTCCTCAAACTTGAGGACCGTCTTCACCGAGGCGATGAATACACACAAGTGGAGGTCCTTCGTGGATAATGCCGGGAGGGGCGTGGTGGACAAAAGCAAGAAGGTGGTGTTCCCTCTGGTGGCGGTGAGCTCCGAAAGCGGCGCGCATGTCTGCACAGTTCTCCACTCGACCAACGGA